TTCCCTTTATGCCGAATAATATCATTCATCTTCAATTTATTTAGTTTATTATCAGATGAACGAAATGAGCCAATCTGCTGCATAGGTTTGGATTGTATTGTTAAACACGGGAATTTGTTGAGAAATAAAACCATTAAAGGTCAATAAAAACCAGGATAAAGCAGTAGGAAAGTTCTACTGGGATTTTCCCTGTATATAAATAACAAAATTCTATTCATATAAATGTGAAAACCATAAAAAATTAACAGAAATAGTTCATACTGATAAATAGTAGACTCTTATTGATATCAGTAAGCAGTGCTACTGATCTGTACTGTGAAAGTATAGTATAGTGTCTTATAGTCAAGAAATGTCAATAAAAAAGCAGATATTAAAACCCACTTATCAATTTATATCATACTTAACACGGATAATTTCACAACTATGTAATTATCGAAAAGCTTTAAAAGTGCATTTTATTTTAATCAGCCTTGAAGTTTGTAAATTTAAAATAAAATTTAATATCCTTGCACTAGATGTGATAATATTTTTATCTCGCTATTTTCTCAAAAAATGTGGGTAAGTCTTTTTGTCATTGACTGGAAAGAATATCGCTATAAAGAGCGAACGAAGTTCTTTTATTGGTTATTTTGTGTATAATAGGTTATATATAAAACACTATATACCTTCTACATGGGCAGGGTGGCTCAAGATAAACCGAGCCCAAAGAACGCGAAGAATACATGAACTTTAAGATGGCATTATATTGGGTAGCCGAAGACAAACCAAAGTGGGAGATGGCTCTTGCTTTGGTTTGTATTATCTTGGGCAGCCCTGTAGTATATAAGACAAAACATACATTGCATATCAAACACACTGGCCAATGAATTAGAAACCCAAGATCAATATTTTATTAAAGCACATTTTGCATAGATAACTGCTCTGATTCGTTTGGACATCGAGTCTACATGTTTGCGGGGTGCAATTAACGTCTAGAGAATACCATGCATTGGATGTGCAGTGTTTTAGATTTTTTAAATTAGATGGAAGAGGAGAGTGATTTCGGATGCGTCTTTCCACCATATCCCGGGGTTAAGATCCGGACTATACGGTGGCCAGGGAAGGTGTTGGAAGTCAAACTGATGTTCAGCGAACCAAATTTTAGCCCTTCTGGCACGAAGGTCAGGGTAAAAATGCAACATTGTAGGGTGCACTTGATCTGCAATATATCTAGGTAATTCATGGCTATTTGTTTACCCTCGAGGAACATCAAGGCACCACTTCCATGCCCGCAAAACACGTCCCATATCATGATACTCCCACCAGACCCTTGCAAAGTGTGAGTAAGGTAAGATGGCTTAATGGCCTCATGGGGTTGTCGGTAAATTCGACATCTTCCATTAGTGCAAAATATGGTGTAGCGTGATTCACCCGACCACATTACCCATTTCCAATCCTCAGATGTCCAGTGTCTTCTTTCCCGACACCACTGCAAACGAATTCTTGCATGTCGGACAGAAATGAGTGGTTTTCTCGCAGACAACCGACAATGCATTTCTATCCTTTGCCATTTTCTGCGCATAGTTCCAGCTGAAATCTGTTGGAAAGAGCCTAGGTTCACGATCTGTATCTGTTGAAGCAGAGTAGAGTTCCTGTCCTGCCGCACAATTCGTCGGAGACAACGCCGATCACTCTTTTGCAAAATTGTGCTCGAATCGCAATTACATCTTCTAGGAAAAGACTGTGGGTCGTGGTTCCGACTTTTGAAAACCTTTGATATGCCTACTTTTGAGGACCCAGTGAGATTTGCTGTCTTCGAAATCAAGCCCCTGCTAAACGGGCACCAACAATAAGCTTTTTTTCAAATGGTGGCAGATTTACCGTTTTTCCCATTTTACTTCATTCATCGTGAAAATAACTCTTACACCTTATATATATATACTAGTATTCTAATAACACGTAACCCACGTCCTAAAAAATTGCGTACTTCATCCCTAGCACACATTTAAATGAAAATCTCAAAGGTTTCTAATTCATTGGCCAGTGTGTAAGCTATATAGAGCGGTGTATGAAATGGCATATCTTTTGTTTTATTTATTACACGTTTATTTTTCATCGAGGTATTACAAAATGAACGCATAATATAATATGTAGGCTTTGAAAAAGGAGTTAAGTGCAGAATGTGTCTACAACTTTATTCTTTTGCAAGCGAAAATTTGAATGTATCACAACCTACCCATGTCTTCCGAAATTGCATGACAAAACTGCACGATAAGATCTTCGAGTTAGGATACATTTGCAGGCTTCCTTGCGAGTACCTTCGAAAACCTTTAACAAAATCACAAAAAAAAGAAAATACAGGTTTTAATATTCGAGCGGACAAAAGTGGCCCGCATCACGCATATGAGTAGAATCTGTGAGCAATTTATGAATAGAGCCTCTGCCACCTCCAGACGTAATGTAAAAATCTCTTGCTAATATACTCCCGATAGTTTATCCTTAGGGTCCTCACAGGGAGGTGTTAATATCCAGATAGTAGAAATAAGACGTGGGATTCTTCAGATATGGAAGATGTGGGATATATACCTTTTTAGACAACATTTATCTCCGTCTTCCATCAACTGTCCACAACACACACATTACACCTTATACAGGAAATCAAGAATAATGTTTGCAAATGTGTGGGCGAGCTCCGTCTTGTATGAACCACTGAGTATGTAAAGAAAAATCTTTCGCCGTTTTCAAGTGCGTAAACAATTCGTGCAGTCGATTGTTCTTCAACATACAGGCAATGGCTTCCAGTTGCTGACACAAACTATGAATGGTTTGTTAGCAAGGAGCTCCATCGTGTACCAAACTGTGCACTAAAACGTCTTAAGTCGCCACCCAACATTTCATTTCCTCAAAAAGGGCGTTGTGTATCAAAAAATATCAAAAAATCTGTTGCATGCGTATGAGTTCGTAATAGACTGAATGCGCAAGTCCGATAATAAATTAATAAAATTTATTCTTAGCATCATAAATATATCAGAACTCTGGAATTTTTGTCAGAGATATTCGTACAAGTGTTCAGAATTTTATGCAGTATACACAGTAATTACTTCAAACTACTTAAAACGTTAAATAGAAATAAATGAAAAAAGCGCATCTAAAGAGTAAGCTAAATGTAATACCTCAGTTCACGAGGAACTAAGCCACTCGCAACAACAGTAACTAAGCAACTAACTAAACAACTGAACTGAGACACTCTCTCTGGCCTTTTATAATTTTCATCTGGTCGCGAGAAATTTCTCATAACTTCTCTTTCTCGAGATTTCTGGAAAGAAATAAGAAGATGTAATTACAGTTAGTTATAACAATAGTGGTCAATTACATTTATTTAATTTCAATACAAATTAACGAGATACCAATTTATTCGATGATATTTTTTTACTTTTTGTGGCATAGCTTTCTCATAAAATTTGTCTTGCACTGCATTACACGGGGAAATACAATACTTTTAATTACAATTCTACTAAAATTATCTATCTGAATAAAAAATTCGTAACAATACAACAGGCCATTATTTACCCTCTTACAAATTGTTGTTGTTGTTCGGAAATTCAAAGTTCCATATTAACTTCTCCCAACATCTACCGCATCTTCCAGGAACAAAAGCGTTTAACTACTCATCGTATATGTCCCGTTTACTGCTCATCATAAAGTCGCCAAATCCCTTGTGCACCGGATACTAGAATTAAACCTTTCTACGCATCTACGTCTCAGTGTTCTAATTTCAGTGTCTCTAAAAGTGTTCTGTCATTACATTGTTCGACCAATTCTAATTATGAAGAAATCTACATGGGTTTGTTATTCTGTGTTCACAGTGAATCATGGGAAAAAGTCCTGTTTCACCGAAAATTTTAATGTAAGTTTGTGCCTCATTCATAATCAAATCTTTCATGTCTTGTCATCCAACCACAGTTTCATTACATGCATATAAAACAATTTAATAATATCTTACATTACAACTACAAACTAAAAAAAAAGCATGTTCTTTTCTTGATATCAGTTACCATTTCTGACAAAAAATCATAAAATGTAAAAAAGGAGAAGCAGTATATTTGCTTTATTAAATACGATATACTCTCGATTATCTGGCTAATGCCGGGACAGCAAACCACGGATAACTAAAAACCACGGACAATCCAATTTAATTTCCATGCTATTTCCTTAAAAAAATCATTACTTTTATTTGTTTTTGACAACGTTTAAATATTTGACGAGTTTTACTGATTATGTTTGAAAGTGCCATTTAATCATTGTATTCGAATCCCCTTTGTTCGACGAAATCCAACAGAAGTTACTGCTGTCTCGGTTCTAATGTAGTGGTCAGACCTTCTTTTCTTGTTTTCAATATCTGCCACTTCTGTTGTGACATTTGAAACGATATCCGCATTACTTAAGCTTTAAAAGCCTGGCTCACTCATACCATCGAATCATTCCTCGATGTTTTCAATTTGTTGTAATACAATTATCAGTTATTACCCCTCCTTTTGCGTTTTCAAAAAAATTGAACCACGGACCTCTGGAATACACGCCGAGCGTGCAGACCATTACAACACGAAGGCAAGCTAAGAAAACGGGAGAAATACCTCATATACTTCCCCTTTTAAAGGGCGACTGGGTTTTTTTTAGGGGACCCGATTGCCAGATCCCAGGTGTAGAGAATCATCATCCACCACCCTTTTAGTTCGAGCACCAATGTAGAGATAGTAGGTATTTTTTTGGAAGCAGTAGACGTGAAAAATGAGCAATGCCTTCGCCGAAAACTGAACCACGGACCTCTTGAATACCCGTCGAGCGTTCTAACCACTACACCCAGAAGACACGCTAAGAAGGCGGGAGAAATACCTCATAATATTTCGTGAGCCATCTTATATAAGAGATCACAAACATGTAAGAGATCTACTGGACACCTTTCATATAATTACACTGAGAAGCTATATATACTAATATTTCTTTTTGTCTATTATGTTTAGGACCATGTTGTGCGGGAGTTGTTGGACAAAAAATGCCCCGTTATTGTCTATTTGGAGACACTATCAACACAGCATCTAGGATGGAATCCACAGGAGAACGTATGTTGGTATTCTTTAACTAAGCATTAACCGTGATTACGCAAGTAATAACTAAACATCTTTTCATAAATTTTTACTTTTTCTTCATAGAAATTTTATAACTGAAAATGCATATCTGAGATCAACATTTAAAGCTACAAAGCTTGAATTTATTTATTCTTCATTAGAGGTTTTCGATAAAATATAAAAATCATTTCTCATTTCTAGAGAAATCAAAAAATAATTAGAACAATTCAAAATTTTCAAATTTCCAAGAATATATCCCGGAAAAATCTCTACAGCTTACAAAAGCGTATGGTTATAAAAAATGTAGGCTCTTTGTTATGACGCGCAAATTTTGTTGCCGCCGAACTGTGTAATATATGGAATTATAAGCATCTTATATTAATTACATTAACACTGTAAATATTTATAAAAATTATGAATTAATATATTTTACTTAAAATAAAGATAAAACTGCTCAGAAGTACCTATACCAAATAAAAATCGTTGTACTCGTTGCAATAATTAATTAAAAATTCTTATGACGCAAGGAACATCAAAAACATTAGCTTTTAGCATTTTAACAGGCAGTATGAATGATTGTCATATGGGTTTTAAACAGAAGTTTAGAGCATATTTTAATTACCGAAATCCAATTGTTTCCCGATAAATGTGATTTAATGCTAAAAATACGATATATTTTTTTCAACTTTCCAGGCACTTTGCTAGTTAAACATGCAGCCCGAATGACCCCCATCGATCATTTACACTTCTTATTTCTGACAACGATGTCTAATTGGCACTACAGGACATGACATAACTACATTTGCGATAAAGAAGTTTCGTTCCAGTTTTGAGAGTGAACATACCGGGAGATGTATCTGAAAGTCTTCTTCACCTCCTTTCTTACCACTAACTTCTCAAGAGATCTTTCGGATCGATAATATTTTAAGTGCCCCAATGCCACAAAGGATTATACACTTATCAACAACAATGCCTTCTCCGAAATTCGAACTCAGGCTTCAGGCTATAGTAGTTGGCTTATCTACTATCATGCCAGCAGAGCGATTTCCTTTGTATTAAAGTTAATTATTTAATTTTCCATTTTCAGGACTTCACGATGATTAGGAACGTCCCGAATGCTCACTGTTATTTTTTCGGTAGATTTTAATTCTTTTCTTTTTTTGGTCAAGTAAATAATTCTAAGGAATAAATGTTTTCGAAGAATTAATTTGATTATGTTACCTATAGCAGCTTATAGCATTTTACCTAAGTTGAGGAAAACGAGCATTTACTTTTTCTAATGAGTATTAAATGATAATTTATTTTTAATTCATTCAGTCACTGTGAATATTTATTTTTTATTTCCCTCTTCATTTTTTCAAAATGGCAAGACATTGATACAATTTCTTTAAATATTCACTTCCAGCAAAATGAAATTTCACCGAATTAAAAAAATTTCTTTCCTTGAGAAATCTTGAAGAAGCTTAAGCTTTACTTTCTGTCATATATTTTGAACATCTTTCATGTGCTAGAAAAGAAACACTGGCATTTGATTGAATCGTAGAGAAAATCGCAGAGGTTGTTTTCTTTAGAAATTAATGAAGTATCAGTCCCCTTGAAATGAGTATTACAGCATAATCTTTAAAGAAAAGCTTAACTCATGTGATTAGGTTATTCTCATTCTATTTTCGAGTAATCAGTAACTCAAAAATATTGACGATTCGGGATAAACATATAATACGATTTCATGAAGAACCTTTCTAAATGTATAAGGGATATATGTAAATCCGGAAATGATACGGACACCTACTTTAAAAACATTGCTGATCATAATAATATAGCAAAATAATAATTAGCCAACATTAAATCACATAACATGCTTGTAAAAACATTTTGATAAAAATTTAAAAAAATTGCATGAAAATCTATGAGGAACATTTACAACTTTATCTGAAAACATATCTAATGTTCCATATACAAAAGAGAATAAAACCGTTACATTCCTTGAAAAGAACTATTTTAAAATTATAATAATTGTATAAAATTGGAATTTCTAAATAGTGAAATAGTAAAATATTTAAAAATATAAGTTAAAGTGGAGCATTTCACAAATTAGGCATAAGTAATAAATGTTTATTTTATTATATTTTATTACTTATTAGTTTCTCCTTCTTTTACTTATTGTAAGACGTAAATTATAAACATTTTTAAAGGGCGGGGGAGGGGAACTTTATCTGAAAATAAAAAGAAATTGCCGTGATATTCGAAAGCTTTTCGTATTTCAAATGTAAAGCTTTACATACTAACTTTCAATTATTTTAGAATGAAAGCTAGTAACAGATTTATAACTATATCAATATTTTGCACTTCTAAGACGGTCACTTACTCAGAAAAATGCACAGACGGGAAATAAAGAAACCTGAATTCCGCTGAATGTATTTTCTACTCCTATTGCTGAGTTTCTTTTAAGCAGTTTTTACTCTAGCGGTTCGATCAAATATTCCATTCACGATTTGCGCCTTAACTTGGATTAACTGTTAAGGGTTGTTTAAATGCAGCCGCATTCCAAGCAGTAGCGAAAGTTCAGTTAAATTGAGTTAAAAAGTATTTTTATGTATTGTAAGTAATCTATTTAGAATAACTGTAAGGTTTATATCATTTTGTATTTCTTGCGATCCCAAATGGAGTCTAGATATAATTTAACAATGACTGTTTTTACAGCACAATATTTTTACTTTTGATTTTATTCTAAGTATTTACAAACGAAGAAACTTCGCCAAAATATAAAATAAATCTAGTTACGTAATTAATTTTAATACACAGCAAATTTTAAACTAACTAGATCACAGACCAGGCAAAATACAGATAGTTGGTCTTTAATAAGTAGAGCTCTAATTTATAAATTTGATTTCAGAATCGTTACTCTTTACTAATCTTTTCCCCATATGTAATGAAGAGGTGGTACTTGTCTTCTGTACTAGCCTTGGCGAGAAAGTGAATGGCGTTGTCGTAGTTAGGCTTAAGAAAGTGCGATTTGTTGTCAAATGTTGTAGATATCCATCGAAACGAAACTGATTTCGTTAAAAGATAGATCGGAAATTCATTCATTTTCTATACAACACAAATTATTTAATATACGAGTACATATACTGAAATAATTAAATATAAATTTGTCTTTACTATCGTACTTAAAACAATTTTGTCAGCAATTTATTTAAATTAATAACATAATTCAACATAACTTATTTGATTGTCTTATGTAATACAATTATGTAAGAAATTTATTTAAAACAACAATGGGTACTTTTCCGTTTCGCCGACACAAATCTCGCCAAGCAGACTTTATTGGCGACAACAAACAGTACACACATAAAAAATTTTAACAAATGTTAGTTTTATGAATTTTTTATTTTGAAGGCATAAACATTTTAATATCGTTTAAAATTTTATAAAACGCCAATAAATAAAGACAATAAATTTGTAAAAAGGCATTATTTTAAGAATTGACTATGCTTTCATATTTCAACATCCTGATTCGCCGGTTCATATCACGTGACCCCATCGCGTAAACTACGCTACAAATCTAATTCTCTCAGTAATTATCTACATTAATTTAAAGTCAAATCTTAATTTGGAATAGAGTTTAAATGCAAGAATTATTTCAATTCGTACGAATAGCTTACTCAGAAATTATGTAAAACCTCAGTGCTTTATTTCGCTAGTGCATTCTCATTAGAATGGATGAATTTAACCCTTGGCCTTGCCTTTTCTATATTTTCGCCTTCGGGTGAGCGGTGTAATTGCATCCTAATTGACTTAATTACCGCGAATGTCCTTAGGGCACAAAATTGAACTATCTGGTAAAAATTATATGTAATTGTATGCCAGTATTGAAAGAAACAATCAATCTGAGATGAAATGGCTGCGACTTGTTTTGAAAATGAGGCGTTAAAGGCTACCAGTGAGGATATTCCGTTTGGCATGGTTGTACTATTATTGGCAACTTTATTGCCTGCGCCGGCTAAACGGAAAAGTACCCAACAATGCTTGTAAACATGGTGAAAAATTCTATGCATTATTTTATTTATACAATTTTTGTAACAATTTATTTAAAAAATACATAAACACACTGAAAATTTCCTTTCTTTTTTTTACAGACCGCTCGTAGTGGCCATAGTTCAGCAATTTCTGCTAATAATCCTCAAACATCAGCTACACCTTTTTTTTTCCGTCAACGGAAGATTAAGAATATTAAGAATATTTTAGTAAAAAACAGTTATTTGATACAATTCAATTACGAAAAACTAGTTAGATCGTTAACCGTTTGTTTCTCGCCACTGCAGAAGCACCCCAGATTATTTCTTCGCCGTTGCAGAAGATACGTACTGAAGAGATTGCTAAGATAACAGATTGATTTATTCATTGGAATCTTTAATACATACAGAATTTGAATTTGTTGCAGTCGTGAATTCAACTTCTTCACATTTTAAGGAATATTATGGCTTTGATAACGCACCGAATAATTTAACTGATGCTAAATGTTAAATATATCTCAAGACACTATACACAAATTAGTGTTGTAATTTCTTTATAAAAGATGATATATAATTTCCTACGAAGTTCAAAAAGTCATAGTACAATAAATATAACAAATACAACAGAAAGGGTGCATAACAGTATATAAAATATCTCTTCCAGTTCTGAATGCACTTAACAGATAGACCATCCATGAATTAGCTGCTTCTGTTTGATGTAATATATGAAATATCCTTCGTAATTTCATAACCGATTTACATATAACACATTTTTTGTGATCACCACTGAAGGCCGTATTTGCTTTATACTGCCATCCATGATTACTAAGCTACAAGGTTTTTCCTCTTGGGTGAGGTCACTGATTTCTAGTCATGGACCTTATAAGAAAGTCATGGATCTTATAAGGGTCCATGTTTCTAGTCCGCTCAAAAACAGAGCCTGCTGCCTTAGCATCTTTTCTCCCACTTGTGTAAGTCAAGTAACGTCAGCGACGAAGAGAAGCTAACCTTGTTTATCTACTAACCTTGCTATCAAATAGCATTGTTATTTCCTTCTAGGGGGAATAATGTGATAGAGTCAAATATGGGTGCAAATTCGGAGAGTTTTTTTATGTACAACTGTGCGCCCTTTTCCAGCATTTGTTATATCTGCTTTAGAAACTGGGGACGGAAGTATGAATCGCTCTTTGTATTGACACGATTAAAAACTTTTCGACAGTGCTTCACTGTAATATGATAGGTAGATTTAGAAAGTATAATATTACTGTTGTATTAAATGAGTCTATAATCGTAAAATACTGTATAAATATCATTAAATACCAGGTTCTCTAGACTTTACTATAACAACACTGAACTCTGTATCTCCCAAATAAATACAAAGCTCATGGAAAGAAAGTGTCGCGAATGATTTTCCTGAATTATTCACGAAGAAAGCTACATAAATCATTCATGATGACAACTACAGATCTTTTCCTAAGTAAACACTGATCCCAGGAATATAGTGCTGAAAATCTATCCTTTATGTACAAGCGACACATATGCTATCACATCCCAAGAGAAAACACTGTTATGCAGTACGAGGAGTACTGAAAGCGAGAACAAATTGGATTATTTCTTTTTAATTTCAAAACATTAAATACATATGAAAGCAAGCGATAAAAATATTGAAGGATTTCCAAACGATAACCTGTTTAGTGTTAGTTCTGATTTTGGTTTTGTTCCCAATTTCAACAATAAAAAATGAATTTTACTCATTAAATGCTTTAATGATTTTAAAATAAAATGTAATTTTTGGAATAAAGTTAAATAACACATAATTATTTCAGTCATTAGTAATAATTTTTGCTTTTAATAACATAACTGTTATTTTAACGTTTCAGCATTGAAGATACATGTTAGTCCAAGTACAAAAATAGCACTGGATTACTTTGGGAATTTTATTCTTATTCCACGGGAAGAAATCGAGGTCAAAGTGAGTATTTCAATGGTCTATAACTAAAACTTAATAATATTAATTTATTATTATATTATTATTTTTTTATCTTAAAATAATCTTATTTTAAGATAAAGAAGTTAAAGGTAATTATGAGTCACAAAAATGTTACTTGTGTTGTACTAAATGTTATACTGCAAAATCCACTCCATTCTTTCACCAGAATGCGCAACTAATTATCAGCTGCCCCAACACACTGATCGATACTACTAGGAGAACAACATTACTTATGCAGCATGCCGCAGATGTGCGTGCACTTCAAACTCGAATAACAAAGTTACAACACGATCGCTTTCTGTTATAGATTATAACATAGTAGAACTTTTTTATAGCTAATTACTAAACGGCACAAGCATAACAGAGCAAAGGACGTTGCTAGGAATAATTTCAGTTCTATCATGATCATGATTTTTAGGCGTAGATCATCGAGGGATCATTAAAGCCCACACACTTACCACCCTCTCGTTACTTGCTTCTCAACAACTGCGAAGTCCAATACAGATAAGATTTTACTTGATCACATGACCAATGGGATTAAATAAATTCATCAATATTTTCAAAGACGAATCCAGTATTCGTCCGCTGATGATTCACAATGAATCTGCTTCAGGAAGGCACCTGCAGATAGGTATAACAACGCTAACATCCTGAGGATATTTTAATGGAACATGGTTTCAGGTTGAATTCAGTGCAATCATCCATGTTAATGACAGAAAACAACGACAGTCAATGGTGTACAGAGATTTATTTCCTCAATATCTTTAAAAATATGATGGAATTGAATACTTCCTGAAAAATGGACGACGCAGGATTTCATCTAGCCTTCATATGGGGAATAGTTTGATTTGGTTGTTTTATTGAAATTATGGCAAAGCATACTAGAACTATCTGCCTAAGGGAAAGGATGTCTTCGTGGCAGACTTTCTGAGGGAAAATTGCTTGTTTACACTATACACGTTAGACATGGGTAAAACCACGAAAACGTCCAAGCAGCCAACCCGTTCGTCTGGGACGGGTCGTAACTACTAGCGTTCAGTGACTTTACTACCAATCTGCCGCGCCATGGGTAATGGATAAAAAGTGTGATAATATCCTGTAGAGCTAAGCAATGTGCACTAGCCTTTGTTGTTTACTTCATAAGCAAACATAAAACACATTCAGTATACTTTAGCAATATGTCATCCTATTTTTTGGGCTCGTCTGGAACTAGTATCCGATCTACAGCTGTAGTACGGGGTTTCCAGTGCTCAGTGTACTTTTAAGAGGGAAAACGTAGTTAAAATTTGTAACTCCAAGCGATGATAGAAAGTTATTTCAGAGTGGGAATCCTACCTTAAGAACTGCTTGATAATCTTCGCTAAGCGTGCACCGATGTTATGTAACTGTATACAACCAACACATAGCTAGCTAACATACAGCTTACAGGAATCTTTCACAAAAGCTTTTGTTCTACGTATTACGTGTTACACTGCTATTTATCACGAAATTGGTGTATTTTTTTTATTTTAAGAACTATTATAAAACCATTAATGTCTTATCCCTACTAAAATAATAATCAGTTCAAATCTTTTCATATTTAGAATATTTGGGTACCCATTTTTGTTTAACTTTCAGCTACTGAGTTGATAATGAACAATCTCTTTGTTTAATTTGCAGTACCGTTTTAATTGTGGAAAGTGTGAAAGTATCGAAGTTAAAAAGGAATCTTGAAATAAAGCATCTCTCGTGCGTCGGGAAACCCAAAGAGTATTTCGAACGACTGTTAAAATCTTAAATAAAGAAAACAACCTTTTGAGGAATTTATGACTGCTAGCGGAGAATATTTATTTACATCATACGAAGTTTCTGATTGCTAAAAATAAAAAGCCATAAATCACTGAAGATCTATTGTTACCATCTGCTACTAAAATAAAAGAAATACTTCACTAAAGTAAATATGGTGATGAAATTCGAAAAATTCCTTTGTCGTATAATGCTGTCGCCAATAGAATTTCTGAAATTAGCAACGGACAATTCGAACAGCTTATGATTAGATTTAAAGAAAGCCCAAAATTTACAATTTAATTGCTCGAAAGAACTGATATTTTTGAAAAATCAGTTATTCTGATTTCTAAAAGGCGACTGCGACACTTGATTCGAATACGAAAGATTTCATTCGGTGGTGTCTAAAGGAATTAATCTTGTTTAAATTTTAGCGATTTCATTGTGCTTTTATAGTTTAATGAAAAACCATCAACATGATACATCACATTAATACAGCATAAACGCAACGACGCTCTCATTGTTACACAACGTAAACATATAGAATATTGTCTTTGGCGCAACAACTCCCTCTTACAATGAAAAGTTGCAACGTCAGTTGTAAAAGTAAATGTCAGATACATTATTCCTTCGATGAACAACTGTCATTTTGTCCTTTTAAAGAAGATATATGCAGTAAAGTTGTCTAACTGTTTAAAACTGAAGGTTTAGAATGCAATAATTGCATTGGAGTACCCATAGATGGTACTGGTAATAATAAAAAAAATAGGTTTTTAAGGACAAGGCTTTTAATGAAATTTATAATTCTTACAGCATCCTTAAGCACCTCGTTCAATTCCATGCCCTTAATAACCCTTAAAATAACCTCTTACTTTTCCTTCTTCCAAATATCTGGAAAGTTACGCATTCGGAATTCAAAAATTTATTACTACGCCAAAAAGGAAGAGTCAAGAAGGCGAAATTTAAGATAATTTTATTAAAAGACACAATTATTATAGTTTTTAACAAAACAAAAGTCTGACCTTGCTGCTTTTTTCCGAAGAAATTTATGGCTATCAAAGCTGTGCTATTTGTCAGATATTTTGAGAAAACAAGCGATCTCAGTTTTTCTATTTAAGGTGAAAAAGGGCAATATATTTACTTCGAGTGATAAACTTGAACTTTTATTTAAAAAAATCAACATTGGAGAAGAATAAGGTCGAAAATAATTGATTCAAAATATTAAACAAAAAGAGACAGGGGGAACAAACTGTAAAACTAAAACCTCAAAAATTTTTAGATATAACTTAAAAACCCCACAAACATGGCTTTGCCAGTATTTTATTTCAAATTTTGATTTCAAAACGTTCTCTTGGATTCAGGGAGCATTTTTCACTAACATCAATAAGATTAATTACCTGCTATATGAAGCCCAAGAGGAATTTGTTGAAATCTCAAATGACTCAAACTTAAAACTTGTATTTCCACAAAAATCCTCGAATGAATTTCCCAAAATTTCAGAAATGGCATTTAAATGGTTGTCTGCTACTCAGCACCACATATTTATATGAAACGACTTGTTTAACTTTAATTCTTATTAAACCTAAATATTATTCTTTGCTGAAACATCAGATATTGCACAGAGATTTAATTTGTTACGCATTAATTCTTATTAAACCTAAATATTATTCTTTGCTGAAACATCAGATATTGCACAGAGATTTAATTTGTTACGCAGCGAAAAGAATCGCATCCGTTTCATTAAAAAGTGATTTTATTTCGATAATTTTTTTTATATCTAAAACAAATCCTAAAAGTGCTACCTTTCATATGTATAATGCTTACCAATGAAATAACTTACTTATCGGAAAATATTCATTTTCATTTTGTTTATATTTAATATCTAGGTCGCGGAAAAGTCTTGATGATAAAAAGGGGTCATAAATGGAAGAACTTTAAGAAGCTTGGTTTTAGATCATTATTTAAATGTGCATAAGAGATGTAACTAATGTAGAAATCCTAAATTATTTTCAAATTATATAGTTTCAAATTATCAAACTGAAATTATAAAGCAAACGTTGTATTAGCAGTTACATTAAGTCATTCCTTTTTATTTTGAAATATTTCGAAAAATACGCTTTTTTAAAAAATCCGCATATCTTGAATTCTTTAGCTACGATAAACTATGTAACTAAAAATTAAGAGTAAAGTTTTACATTTCAGAAATTTTACTTCTTTCTATATATGTCTGCAAAGAAATTCTTAGAGAAAGAAAATACTTTTATGTGGCAATGGTAATGTTTAGAAAAGTATAAATAATAATGGCAAAAATTAAAAATTAAGCACCGCTAAAATTAAATAGGAATTATTTAATCATAATAAGAACAAAGAGCGTTATTTAAATAAATACTTAAATCATATATAGTACATTTAAGCTAGCTTATAAAGTAAGGATTAATATTTATTACCCACAGTACTTTGAATTAGAATTGATATAGTAACATTCGTTGAATTAAATTTCTAGCTAATTTTTTAGACTGCTAAGTTCGACCTTTAAAATAAAATGCATTTAAAATTAAAAAGGCTCAACAAATGTGTTACAAAGTGAATTTTTCAAATGAAATAATCGACTTTTATTCATTTGATTCCAGAGAAAAATATTTCATTTATTTCCTCAAACCTACAGATTTAAAGAACATTTAGTTAATTTTCCTACCTTTATAATGGTAAATGATAATCATATTAATTCCTTGCACCATCTGAATTGTTTTAGTACTTAATCTGAAATCTCGTTAATCCTTCAAATCAGCATCTGAAACTTCCTTAAGTTTGAAATCTCGCATTTATTGTGGATTTAGTCCTGAATTAATGCAAAACTCCTAGTATCAGTCTTAAACGTTCAGACTGAATAGCTGTTATGCTGACCATAAGTAGCAAATTTTATTAGACTGAACTGTTTCGCGTTTCGTGTTTGTTGAGATCTCCTTAATAATTATACCAGCTGAACAGGAAACAACTGACTCCTTTTTGAAAGAAATGTGGTTCTGAGTCAATAACGTAACTCAGACTCGCGGCTTCAGTGCCATAAATATATGCATATAGGAATGCCAAGCACTTCTGAAAGACTCAAAAGTAGTATATTGAAGTATTTAAAAAAATAATAGACAGTATCATTTTTATAAATATTCCTAGGAAATACTCTTCTTAAAATATCATCAATTTTTGCTTGTAAACTGCTAAATGTTGCCGAATTTCAACCAAGACCCGTCAGAAAAATCCCTATATCTCAGGTTTTAATTGCACAATCTTTATATTAAGATCTCGATGGATTGAAAACTACAATATATATAACAAAATATACAAAATAAACGCTTACAAGCATGGTCCTAGATTAACCACTTCACCGTTACTCCCGAGATAAACTCACCGATTTGAAAAGTGCTATCAGACATCAGCAACGAAACACGTTCATGGGGACTAAATGTGGCGTGGATAGTTTCCCCTGTGAAAGATTCGTCACTACGTGTCTTACAGCTATCAAAATCGGGCAGGGAAAAAAAAAAAAAGAGATTCATGTTCGAATTGGTCACGATCTTTACACAATGGGGCTATATCAAGACCATGCAAAGCAATATTCTTAAGACAAGAAATAGGAATTCACTTGAGTTCTCTCTTCCAGTTGAACATTGCGATGGGAACTATTGCTCGTCTGAAAGCGTGCCTTTAGGGGATCATCTTTGTAGAATTTTCAGATAACTAGGGACTATTTAGGATCTAAACTAGGAAAGCACAAGTGAATTTTTTGTCCTGTGTAGGATGATGCTATTCAATATCATTGTGTAACAAGCAGGCGATTTACTAAATGGGTCTTGACAGCTGGCTAAAGGGTGAAGGAAACATTTTTAAGTACAATTCCAGACGTAAAAACTTATCTCTAGATAAGAAAAAAAGCAAATATTTGAATTTGTAGGATAGTGAAGTAGTTAACAAGAATGCTCAGTAAAACTGTACATAAAATGCCTAACAAACATAATACGCTGCAAAATCAAAATATATGAAAAACAAAAATACAGCCAAATAAAAAAATATTTAGGCAAACATGCAAGAGTTAATTGTTGTCACTTCTAATTCATGTATTTCAATGTTCTTTTATTTTACAGGGCAAAGGTAAAATGCAGACCTATTGGTTGCTATCTGAGAGCGGGTCTACGAAAGTACCTGCTTCGCCAGTGGTGCAAACAAGAGACAAGAAAGATGGAAAAAAGCGAAGATGATTAAAACTCCCGTGGTCTAGAAGAAGAGTATGAAACCAAGTTTACGACACAGAACCTGCAGTTGATCGAGAAATAATGAAATTAGATGACGATGAAATAAACTGTCATTTGAGTCGTTGTTTTTAATTTGGAGTAAATATATTACGTAATAATGAGTGGAAAAAAAAAGAAGTTCAATGTACAAGAATCTTATAGTTTCATTTAGAAAGGAAACTGAAAAACATCTGTTGATTGTGACGTAAAGGCAAAGGAAAGAACACGTACTTCAATATGGTTACTATATGAGAAAAAATTAAAAGTTACTATGTGATAACTAATTAAAAATATTTAGAGGTGTATTTTTAAAATACATGGAATTAATGGATATTGCTAAAAGAAGCTGAATTTATCTGAACTATTATGCTTCTTGTATTTCGAAGAAGAGAAAGTGATTTGTATATACTCGGTTGGTCAGCGAAAATGTTTTGAAAAATGCAATTTTTAGTGTTTCTTGTTTGTGTTAAGTAAATTTCAGATTCTGAGTTTTTCGTATTTTAATTATTACCCAGATATTATCTCTGTAAAATACAGAAAAACGCAATTTTCTTTACATTTTTATGACAAACAGAATTTGAAACAGTGTTTAAAGTTAGGCAAGAAAAGCAACCTCAGATTGAGAATTCGATTTAAGAGATAAAGTAATTTTTACAGGGGCAAAGAGAATAATGAGATTCTTTGTTTTGACTAAACTCCACGTTCTGTTTTTATATGATAAATACTACTAAAATATTCTATCCGTTAAATGTCAAAAAATATAATTTTCTTCTGATTTTCATGAAAAACAAGATTTCAAATGGTATTTCAAATTTCACAGAAAAGCAATTTTAAACTAAAAAATCGATTTCGTGTGCGATCAGGCACAAATCCCTCTTTTTCAGGTGTAAAATAATTTCTGCAGAAGGAAAATAGTTCTTTAAGGAGCAAGCAATTTTTGCTTCAGGAAAAACCAAATTTCCGTAAAAGATTTTTTTTTTTCAAATTCGAACCCTTTCTTTCAGATTTTAACGATTGCCCAAAAGGGCTGTTTTAAAGTTCAATATGGCTGATCAGTAGAGATTATAGATAGAGATAGCCCAGGTGAAATAGCGAAACATTTTGTAGAAATGAGTATACGTTTAAATATACGTTTAGAATCATATGGGAGAGTTATATGCCTTTTATATATTCAAAACGTAAAAGACATGTAATTGAATTCTGTAAAAATATTTAATCTTTGTATTTAGATATATTCTAAATTAAATGCATTTTTATTTAAATCTCTCAGAATAAAAATTGAAAAATTAATATTGTTAAGAATTGCATTTATTGCTATTAAATTGTTCAGTTTGTTAATTAATAACAACTGGATTAAATATCAAAGAATAATATCATTCGCTTTTCCGAATGCCAACAGTCTCAAATAAAAAGCGAAGCAATGCGAAATCGTATTTCGAGAGTAACAGCCCTTTTGGGCTAAAAAAGAAAAAAAAATTCTTCAGAAGGAAAAGTTTATTTCAGGAGCAACCATACATTTAAGGAAAAGTGTTGCTGTTCCTATACTTTACAGACGGAAGAAGTTTTTGTTTCTGTTTTGCTCATATGTCTGATCGCCCTCGAAATTGAAAAAGTTTTATTCAAAATCAAGAATAATCTAAGACTGCGTTTTCGCCTAAATTAAAATTACCTTCCAGTTAGACTTTGAAAAATATTTGTAAAAACATACATTTGAAGCACAAAAAAATTTTTAAAAAAATTGTTTTTAAATCTACAAAAGAGCTTCTTCAACAGAAATATAAATGTTTGATTTTTTAAACAATAACATAGTTATTTTATCAAAATGAAAAGGAAACAAATAGTGAAACTGGTGAAAGAATCTCTTCGATGCTTTGAAATATTTGTACAATTTATCAGATTTACTTGAACATTAATTTACTTTGTCATACTTTTTTGTGATATTATTCCTTCACAAGGTATTAAGTCCTATAAATATGATGTTTAATGTATTCAGCCGGTGCAGTTTATAGCAGAAAATGTTGTTTGCGTTAATATGCTTACTTAATGTTTAAAGTATTCGTAACTACTTTTAAATAAAAGATGAATAGTAAAGTAAAATATTACTCTTTCTTAATAATTTTTGCTAACGGCTGTTGTGGGTATGAATTAAAATACAGCCATAAATCGTATTTCTAACGCTCGAAAAACGGGAATTTTTTTTCTAAATCTAAACAACCATTTTATCGTGTAGAATTAAAATCAAGAATGTAATACATTTAACACATTTTCTATAGATAGAAGCTAGTTTGATTTCTCGCCAATAAACATTAAAATATAATATATTTGGATATAATACTTTTATGAGCATTTGTAATGAGAACCATAATGACACTTTAAGTAAAAGTAAACTAATATTGGCATTGTTATTTTATAACTGTTGGCAAAATTACATTTCTATATTACATTAATTTAATAGAATTGCATGCAAATTGTACAGTGCTGCTTCTAAGAGCAGAAACACATTCAATCCTTTTCTGCATTGAAATAATTGTAATAAGGGTCATATTCGCTTTTACATACTACAGTAAATGCAAATTATGTTTTTATAGCTTTTCCACATTTTCTTCACTTGTCTATCTGCGGGAAAAAATGCTAAAAGTGAAAATTTTTTGATTACATTTTAGTACTGTTTTGCATTAAAAACTACTATACTCTAGATAAAGTACGTTTTCTGTTTTTTCATTGAAGATTGTTATGGGCTTCCTATAAAGTACCCCTTTCGGTTGCCCAGTTTTACCCCAAATCTAATCACCTTTTTATGTGAAAATAGAGAGCTTTTAAATATGGAGAATAGAAATTTTTGGAATTTTTATATTAGAGTTAGCAAGTACGAAAACGTTATCACACCTGTATACACACTCACGCACAGGCAAACACCATTGTAAAAATAGTCAAAACGTGTTGTGGGAATCTTAATTAGTGCATATTCACTGAAAACTCACTATCGAATTTTTGGAGTGAAATCATTACCTTTCTTACTTACGTGCATAGCTTGCCGGGAGGTAAAATTAGTGAATGCTGCTTTCTTCCTCTTTAGCGGAGCCGTCAAGTTTATGTTTGATTCTTGGATTCAGATCCACTAGTCTAAACATACTTTTATAGGCTTCAAGAAAATTACCCCTTCTGTTTAACCAGTTTTACTCGAAATCTACTCAGTTCTTCATATGAATGCAAAAAAATTTAAATACGGAGAATAGAATTTTTTTTTTTTTATGTTTCATATAAGAGTAATCGGGGAAGAAAAAATCATCACGCGCATACAGACACACAGACGCCGTAGTAGAAATAGTGAAAACGGGCTGTGGGGACTCTAGTTACTTGCTGAAAATGCACTACTGAATTTTCTGACCGAAAACGTGACCTCCTTTACCTTTATATATAGGTTGGCGAGAGGTAAAAAGGAAATCCTGAATCATTATATTTTTTTTTGCACAATACGATCTTCGAATGTACAAAACAACTAAAAAGGTGTTGGTGTATTTAATTATGGCAAAGCACACGAGGGCTATCTGCCTAAAGGGAGGGATGCCTTTCTAAGGGAAACTGGCTCGTATACACGTTACACATGGGGAAAACCACGAAAACGCCCATGCAGCCAGCCCGTTCGCGGGATTCGAACCTCAGACCGAACTACCAGTGTTCAGCGTCTTTACCGCTCGGCCGCTGGTGGGCCCAACTAAAAAGGCGTTAGATTAATCTGGTGACATTGATCAATTGTCAGCCTGAAGTTGCCGACGAGTCTGCTTCAGTAAAATCTTTTATTCTTCTTCTTATTTGGCATCTATAAATAATCGTAACGAACTTGTAAATCTTTCCTTTCCACATTTTCTTTGCATATGTCGTTTTTCCACCAGATGTCTATAATATATTTTGACGATTAAAATGTCCTGGTTGACTATTGACAACTATATAACGTTCAGTTGTTGCCATCTCTTACAACTTCTTTATTCTTTGAAGATGCGCTCATAAAAAGCATTTGTTCTGTGATGCAAATTCCTTTCAATTGTTCTTCATTTCCGTTTATTCCTTGTGGATACATTTACATATATAATTTTTGGATATTTCTTAACAAAATGCAACCTTATTTTTGTTGTGTTTCTACATGAGTTTAAGAATCACTATCAGATGTTTGAAGTTTTTGAGAAATAAAACATTTATCTGTAATATTTCTTCTTCTTCGAGTTCCTTTTCCTTTCTATTAAACGAAAATGAATGGAAAATCATTTTGGAAATTCACATGATTCATTTAGATGTTAATTTAGCCAAAACTTTTATATATTTTCATGATTCATTTAGATGAAAAGTAATCATGTAAAAATTTGTAAAAGCAATACAGCGAACCGTGCTAGTTTATACATAAAAAAATCTTTTGTCACTGATCACTTGACAAAAAAAGCTGGTGTTTCCAAGTGAAAAACTAGCTGCCGTAAAGAGAGAAGAAAGAGCCGTGGAAATACTTATTTACATAGCAGCGTATGATGGAATTATTCCACACATTTTTGTTTTATTTTGTTTTCCATAATATTGTCAAAATTCCAGCTCTTTAGATTCGGTTTACACACTTTTAGAACGATTTCGGGGCTGTTTAATTTGTGTTTAAAGTTCAAGAGTATTTTTCAAATGTTTTATTTAAAAGCCATCGTCTCTGGATTATAATTCTGCATATTTATGGGCTATAATTCTGGATTAGAGATATTCTCATGATAAAAGAGCTTTTCTTAAAAATTCCAGGGGTATTGATTTCCATTACTCCGTCATTACTTTTCAGCGTACATCAATCGTGGTGGGGTTGCACTTAGAAAGAGATCTTTTCAAGACACCAAAAATACAATAGTCCATAGGTGACTTCAAAGGACTTCCTATGAATAGGTTGAAAAGTATATACGAAATACCTACATCAGTCCTCATTTTTCAAAGAAAAGAATAGTTTTCAATAGCTCTTCTTATTTTTAATTTTCCACTGTAAGCAGATCCTACGACAATCATAAACCTCTTACTAAAGTTTCCTTTACATTGAAGGAACCACGTCTGTATGCTTTTCTCTTTTCTTTTTCGAAAACAAATAGACCTTTTTTCTATTCAGTGGCTTAAGTTAAACCAACGCTTCATCAAGGCTTACGTTATATTTCCGTTTATCTCCTACTAAACAGTTTTCATACATGGTTTCACAAATTGTTCTGCGTTGACCACAAACCTCGGCAAAAGTTGGTGCCCATTATATTTTTTAGCTTTTTCAAGTTACAAACCTTCCTTTATTGTTTTTTTATTGTTGCTACATATCTGTTCAAAGACTTTGCAATTGATTTCACCTTTCGCGGATTTTTCTCTTATTACCGACTTTTTAACTTTAGAAAAAGGACATACTTTTTCCGGGTATTCGTTTGGAGGTTTCAGATTTACTACTTATTTATTGAAGTAAAGAAGCAAAATTTACAGAAGTGATTAATTA